TATGATAGAAAAGAACGAAAGTAAGAAGAAATAAATGACTACAGTGAATGAAAAAGAAAAAAGAAAGAGAAAGAAAGCAAAGAATATAGGAATTAAAGAAAGAAAAAAAGAAACAAGAAAGGAAGACAAAAGAAAAAGAAAAAGAAAAGAAAGAAGAATGAGAGAAAGAATGAAATGGATATAGACAAAGAACGAAAGACAAAGTAAAAAAGCAAAATAAAGAAAGGGAAACAAATAAAGAAATCAAAATGGAAAGATAAACAGAATTAAATGAAGAAAGGAACTGAATTTGGAGAAAGCGAAAAAAGAAAAAAAAAGGAAGAAAAAGAGAAAGAAAAAGTTGGGAAGGGGAAACGATTGAAGAAAAAAACTGCTTGTTGCAGTCAATATTAATTTCTTTCTTGGATTATGCTATTACGATCAATATCCAATCGATCGATGTAGAAAACAAAAAAAATCAATTCTAAAAACGATAATAAATTGTTAAGAAAAGAAAGAAAAATAAATAGGAAATAATGAAAAAAACGGTGATCTAAAACAAAATGGCGTCGTGTACGTATTTAAATTAATCTAATTGGTTTACAGAGTTTCAACGTTTAGTGGTTGCAAGAAAAAAACACGGCATTAGTTCAGATCAAAAGACAGTGTCTGGCAATGCGTAAAAGTCGAGCAGTCAAGTCTCGTTTGTAACGCCTTAGTCTCGCAAGAGACTTTTGATGTCACCTGTAACAAGTCGGACTAAGGGACTGTGAACTAATTTAGTGCAGAAGAGTGGAATGGGATCAATAAAGAGAGAGAGAGAGAGAGAGAGGGAGGGAGAGAGGGAGAGAGCGAGAGAGAATTTATCTTGTATTCTTCTCCAAATGAGGGAGGAAGAGAGGGAGGGAGAGCGACGAAAAGGGTAAGAAAGATAAACGGAGAAAGAAAAAGAGAGGATGATGAAAACAAGTAGGCTAAAGGGAAATAAAATATCAATTATTTATCGATCAGTCTTTGATCTAGCTATGGCTTTTATCTCAGTCTGTTCCTATCTATCTATCTATCTATCTATCTATCTATCTATCTATCTATCTATCTATCTATCTATCTATCTATCTCAGTCTGTTCATGTCTATCTATCTATCTCTCTATCTATCTAAGGTTGTTCATATCTATCTATCTATCTATCTATCTATCTATCTATCTATCTATCTATCTATCTATCTCAGTCTGTTCCTATCTATCTATCTATCTATCTATCTCAGTCTGTTCATGTCTATCTATCTATCTCTCTATCTATCTAAGGTTGTTCATATCTATCTATCTATCTATCTATCTATCTATCTATCTATCTATCTATCTATCTATCTCAGTCTGTTCCTATCTATCTATCTATCTATCTATCTATCTATCTATCTATCTATCTATCTCAGTCTGTTCCTATCTATCTATCTATCTATCTAAGGTTGTTCATATCTATCTATCTATCTATCTCAGTCTGTTCCCATTCATCTATCTATCTATCTATCTATCTATCTCAGTCTGTTCCTATCTATCTATCTATCTATCTATCTATCTATCTATCTATCTATCTATCTATCTATCTATCTATCTATCTCAGTCTGTTCATATCTATCTATCTATCTATCTATCTCAGTCTGTTCATTATCTATCTATCTATATATCTATCTATCTATATATCTATCTAAGGTTGTTCATATCTATCTATCTATCTATCTATCTATCTATCTATCTATCTATCTATCCATCTATCTATCTATCTATCTAAGGTTGTTCATATCTATCTATCTATCTATCTATCTATCTATCTATCTATCTATCTATCTAGATCAGATAATTACAAAACGAAATAGCAGAGAAATGGAAGCCTGAGCAGTGTCTTCGTGAGATGGTGAAAAGATATTTATCAACTTATTAAGATCTAAAAAGGATAGGACGCTTTGAAGAGCCATGATCTTTCATAAACGAAACGCCGCAAAGAAGAAGAAGAAGAAGAAGAAGAAGAAGAAGAAGAAGAAGAAGAAGAATTGGAGACAAAAAGGGAAAAATAAATTATAATAGCAGGAAAACTGCTAGACTCCACTTGAATTCAGAACTGAAACCACCTGCACATTCTTTACCAAGTATAGTGGCACAAATGCTCGCAAAATATTGTGGAATTGAATAATTATAGCTCGTAGCTTACTATATAAACACTGTAAAACGTCCAAGAGCCACTTAAAGTAGAAGGTTACTAAATGAAGTTGCTGTAAAAGCGGGCCATTATATTCATGAAGTTATGATTCGTGAGTCTGTTCCGCAAAGCAACAGTTCTGGAGAAGATTGTATGTGATTGGAACTTCCTCCTTACGAATGGAATCTAAAAAGAATGAGTCGACTGTGTACATGGCCTTATAGGGTCAGGGCATCATAACTTTTTAGGATGTGACAGTAAAGACAAGTTGGAGGATATATCGATATACTTAGGAACACCCTCAGCAAGAGGTCGTATCAATAAATC